TTAATCCAAATAATAAAGTCCGTAATAAAAAGAACAGTAAAACAACAAAAATCATTTTTTAGTGTTATATGAGGAAATCAAATTGCAGTAAAGTTAAAGTTGACAGCATTGATTTTAAATATTTAGTGTTTTATCATCTTGAATGTGCTTGCTTTGCATTAGCCATGACAGGTAACGGTGGCCCCAGCAGGCCTTGTCCCAAGTTGCTTCAAAGACATAAAAGTCTGATATTACAAATTGTGATTGGCTTTTAATTTAGAGTCTTGCTCCTATGGTCTGATTTCTTTTAGTAAAATGTATGTTTTACTAAAACATAGTAAATTGGGACTTGTCCTAATTTCTTGACTTTTAAAAAACAAGGACTATCCATGTTTTAATTTTATACGCTAATACAAGCTGAAAAAGATTCACAATTTTTTTTGCATATGGATTTTGACTTCACTGCTGAAAAGTAAAACAAACTATTTTGTTTATTATCATTGACTTGCATGTGATGCAAAGGAATGAAAAGAAGCGGCCCTCAATGGCCATAGTGTTGCGTCTAAGACTTCTGTAGATTTAAAATTTGCTCTGGGAAATACTGTAGACCTAAAGAGGTTCTTTTCACCTGTTTCTTCTGAAGACTAATTTTTATCTTTTCACATCATTTCTTTTGTCTTTCTTTTTATCTCCTTTGTCTCTTGAAGGAAAGAGAAATAATAGAGAGAGACTAAAAAGAAAAATATGAAAAGCAGCCAAGGAAAAGAAATCAACATTAGACTCTATCTCTGCTGTATATGAGCCTCTGTCCTTGGCTCTTTTCATATTATTGTTTCATTTTATCCAAATAATTATCCTTGAAGTAGCTATTGACTTTACAGAAGAGAAGTAGGATTTAGAAATGTTACCCAGTTGGTCACTGGTAGAACTGAAATTTAAATTCAGATGTCCCTGACTTCCAAGACATCCTCTTTGTGCTGAGCCACTTGGAAGAGACCTTAGAGATTATCCAGTCCAGCCTCCTCATCTTTGTTTTTTTTTTTTTTTTTTTTTTTTTTTGGGAGATTGTCACCTGGGCTTGAGTGTAGCGGTGTGATCCCAGCTCACTGCAACCTCTACCTCCTGTGTTCAAGCAATTCTCCTGCCTCAGCCTCCTGAGTAGCTGGAACTACAGGCGTGCACCATCATGCCCAGCTAATTTTTGTGGTTTTAGTAGAGATAGAGTTTCCCCAGTTTGGCCAGGCTGGTCTCGAACTCTTGACCTCAGGTGATCTGTCCACCTCAGCCTCTCAAAGTGCTGGGATTACAGGCATAAGCCACCACTCCTGGCTGTCATCTAATATTTAAATAAGTACAGTACACATATGGTTGCCGTCTATCAAGAAGGTGTTTATCAGTCAGAGACTATGCTAAGCACTTTACATACATTATCTGATCTAATGTGCATACGAACCCCAGGTAGCATAGGTAGGTTAAATAACTTGTTTAAATTCATTGATCCAGGAAATAATATGGTATAGATGTCAATCTGAGATTGTCTGACTCCAGAGACCAGTGCTCTACTATTGTGTTTCAATTTTTTCTTCATAAAAATACTGCAATTGACTGAGGTGAAGTGACATTCCTAAGACCATCAGCTCCCTTTGGCAGAACAGAGCCTAGACGCCAGATTTCTGACTGCCAGTTGTCTGCTCTTTCTACTGTTCCACAGTGGTGTCACATGAGCAGAAGTAGAATAAAATGAAAGCCCAACCAGAACGGACTAGAGCACTTTGTGGGATATGATTGCTCCACACCTCGGAGCTCAGCTGTCTGCAGCATTATAAATTGCTAGGGAATTTGTTCCTCTGAGAAATCAGGTGTAGAAATGTCTTTATGAGTTATGGCTTTTAAAACTATACCTATCTACACATTATTTTCCTTTTTATATCAGTGAACACTGAATATAATAAATCAGAAAATAGGTTTCTGATAGTTCACCTTATAAATTGCTTTAAACTTGAGTTACAGTTAAACTAGAGTTATTCATTACATATTATTTTTAAAAGTTCTGTATTATAAAGAGGAAAATGTCAAATAGGTTCTTTTCTCAGAAATGCTGGAAGCATCTCTAAGTTTAAGCAAGTTTCCAGTGCAGTGTGTATCATAAATCATCTGTCTCTGTTTCAAAATTGTCAGCAGCAGAATGGAAACTGTAGCACTTACCAAAGGATCAAGTACTGAAATAAAAATAATCTGCCTTTTAACAGTCACATGGCTTCCATAAATCACAGTGGTTTTCTGGAAGAAATTGGTTGTTATCTTTACTGAATGACCTTTGATAAGTGGAACCTAGAGTGTCATCTGGGCCTTGCTTCTTGGTTCCCTTAGCATTTGCTGAATGCCTGCAGAGCACATGTAGAGATGGTGGATAGCATGATGAGAGAAGGAGAAACATGGATGATGCCAGAAGACCCTATTCTTGTCCTCTCAGAGATTAATAGCTATGTCACATCAAGTAGAGAAAGTGAAATCTCTCCTTCTGTATTGTCCTTTCTCTTTTATATTCCCCCTTACACCCAGTCAGTGCTATGTTTTGACCCTATGGTAGTGATGAGAAATATTACTCCTTGCTTGATAAAGAATGATGCATTATATCTGCCTATCACATGCACCCAGAGTGTGGCTTGTCCTGCCACAAGAGACATTCAGGTTTCTACCTTTCATCTTATACATACGCTGGTGTAAGTCGTAAAAAAAGAAAAATAAATTATAAAGACATAGAAAACCTGATTTCTATGCACAAGGGTTGGAATCCCAGCCTATGGTACACCTTTCATCCTTGCCAGGGGTGAAGTGTGGTTGGGCAAGTACATACACCAAAGACCCAAAGACTTGTTGTGTCACAGTGAATGTGAATTTGTTCATATCACTTAACACCCCTGAATCTCAGTGTCTACATGTTTAAGAAATCAAGGCAAATGCTATTTGTTGGCATAGGAGAGCCCTTTTCTGTCTTCTCTGCATAACTGCATCTTAATTCTGCTGCCCTTCCGTGTTATTCTGGTTTCTGTCCCTGTGAGGAAGAATAAACAAGATACTCTCTCTACAGAACAGCTATAAATATTGAGATGGCACCATTCAGCTGTGCCCTGGACCTACATCCATGTAAATGGAAGTCCCTATGGGACCTTCCTACCAAACGTCAATCCTAGTTTCTGTATGAACTGGAATTGTTCTGGATTGTTTCAGAATGTGTTTATTTGCCATAGAAAAATAAACATAGTCTTACTACTTAATTGTCAACTCTTGTTTTTTTAATCCACCACCGTCCTAACTCCATTATTACCTAGTGCTGATCTAAAGGATTTTCATTTGTTTTCTGAAGTGAATTCTACCATAAAAAGAGGAAGATGGACTGTTGCTAATGTCAGTCTATGGAGAATCTTACTGTCTCGGAAGTAGTGTAAGAAGTATTTTGAATAATCATTGTAATAATGGTCTCCTAAGTTTGATGGAACTTACTGTGTTTAAGTTTTGTAAGTTGCTTAAAAAATTTCTTCATAATCATTTTATATATATTGTATTTTCTTTAAAGATGGTAAGTGAATGAGAAGTTGCTGGAGAACTTTTGGGGCAGTGGGAAGAGGTGGCCTAGTGAGGCTGACAGATGGAGAGGTCAACTTGGGGGTTGGGTTGAGGATCACAGGTAATGACTGAGGGGTGCTGCAGATTTCCCCAAAATCCACTCTGCTCCAGTCAGGGAGTGGTTTCAATTAAAAGGCTTATTTTATGTGGTGTAAATCATACATCTAAGAACAGGTAATTGGTTTAATTGAAGAGAGAACTCTTCCTATACCAACAGAGCTCACATGATTTTGTTTCACTGTGTAATCTACCAATGAATATGTTATTGTTTCCTTTAAAGCTACAGAGTTTCTTTACTCATTTGAAAATGTTTTATTTTGCATATTTTAATGTTTAGATTTATAGCTTCATGTGTTAAAGGCTCTCTGTCATCTTTTGATGTTTAAAAATCTTTATAAAATATTATTTTAAGTCTACAAAAGAACCTTCCTACAAATACACATGTGCTTGTCTATAGGTTGGTGCAAAAGTAATTGCATTTTTGGCTGCGATGACTAACAACTAATAACTAAGGTTCGAAATAATGAAAAATATAGGAAACAGGCTAGTTTGTCATCCTTGAAAGCATTGGTCCTGAGTGATGTGATTAGGAAAGTTAGGATAGTTTTGTAAGTCAGTGACCCTGGTTGACATGCCGTCTTTGTTTTTATTAAGCTAAAGGAAAATAATGGGTAGATTTCCACAGATGTAATTAAAAGGTAATGTGGTCATAAAAGACTACCTATTTATGTTCCGACACATAGATTTTCTTTAGAAATACCTAATTGAAGCTCATATATAAGTTTACGTTGGACAATGAAAATGTAATGAGAATGTCTTTTGAAATTGGTGTCTTAGAAATTGCAGAGTGGAGGACAAGTCACTTTTTTGGTTCTCTTTGTTTCCCTCTCTTCTTCAAAGGCATTTCTCTAGGAAAAAAAAAACCAGCTTTTGTGCATAAAATATAGCTACTTATAAGTGTCTACTATGTGCAAGGCGAAATCAGGCTAATGCACTGGGTTTTCATTCCCTAAAATCAGGGAACCACAAAGAGAAAAATGCCAGCAAAAATACCAACTCACTTCTAACCATTTGAATTTTATGTCTAGAAGCTTCAATTAGTATTTTAATAAGGATCAGAGTCACCTTTGCATTGTATCCGCCAGTCACTATAGTAATTATAGTGCTTTAGAGAAGGTTGACCCTTGAAGTAGGAAATAATAACTAAATGGCATGCAAGTGTAATAAATGGTGGCAATGTGCATGTTGGTCAGAGTCTTTGTTCTTCATTCTTGATACGTTTCCTAAGACCCTCCTAATAGTATATCAATGTGGCTTTATTTGCCTAGTGATATCACAAATGAGAAGAAAAAGAAGACATGTATCATTTAACATCTATATTTTCTTTCTTTTAGGGCGTGTTGGAGAGTTTCCTGGGCACTGCTGTCTCTGGAGCCATCTTTTGCCTTTTCGCTGGTCAACCACTCACTATTCTGAGCAGCACTGGACCTGTCCTAGTTTTTGAAAGGCTCCTATTTAATTTCAGCAAGTATGTATATACATATTTAATTACAAATTAGAATTGCTTAATTGTAGAACCTTTATAGCTTAGATAGAGCATAGAAGAGTGATTAGGCAGATGTAAGAATCACTCAGCCTACTGGAATGTTCAGATGGGAGAGGCGAAATGGCCTTAGCAATCAGGTAGCCACCACTTTGTTTCATATGTGAATGGACTGAGGCTCTTATGTGGTGTGCGTCCTTGCTCCCTCCCCACTTACTCTCTTTCCCGTTGTTCTGCCTTGTGCTCTAGGGGCTGATTGGACGGCAACAGCCACGCCCCTTTGCCTTCTGGCTTCCTCTTGGGTTTGGTTAATGGGGAGTACCAGCAGGGCAGGAAGAGAGAGAGACAGGTCTGAGTGTGTCTGCCTTTCCCCAGCTCACCGTCTTAGCTTTAGCACAGCAGTCTGGCAGTGCTTATCCCAGGGCACTGTAGCCCCTGTCAGCTGGCTTATCTACCTTGACTCTAGCCTTCTCCAGACTCTCGTAGCTCTGTTCCTTCACAGGCCTTTTCAAGCCCGAAGTTAGTAGTGGCTTCCTGCTGTTGGTGGTCCCTGAGTGCCTTGCCATTTGTTGTTACTTCAGAATGCCTTCTATTTCCTGCCATGATCCTGACTGATATGCCAGAGAAATTAAATGGATTAAGTTCACATCATTCAATAATGAAAGAGACTGGGTTTACTTGGTTCACTGCTCCTTACCCCAGTTTTGTGTTCTAAACTAAAGACAGCTTCCAAAACTCAGCTGAATAAATGCGTAATATATATTGAGAGCTGATCATGTACCAAAAATTATCCTAAGCACTTTACATGTACTAACTCATTTAATTCTTATAGCAATCCTGTGAGGTAGGGACCACATCCTGATTTATAGATGAAAAAGCAAATACAGGAAAAATAAGTACATTGCCTAATATTACTTCACAAATCATTGGTAGGGCTAGGATATGAATTCCTGCTTTCTGACTCCAGAATCCGTGTCTCTTCAGGGATCACTAGACATTTCAAACAGGCATCGCAATTATGATATCAGCGTTTTCTTTTAGAAATTGATGGATCATTTTAAGAAGGGGAAATGAGTTAAGTGAATTATCCAAGTGGCCACATTAATACACAAATAGATTCAAAATCAAATTGGGTATCCTGGCTTCATTCTAATGTAGTTGATACCTCTAAGAGAGAATTGCTTTTACTGGCAGATCTCAATTTTTAGGTAGATTGCAGAATGTCACACGGCTTGCTGGCACTCCTTGTTGCATTCACATAGGTCTTATATTGTTATACATTTTTAGGATTTTAATTTTAGAATTGTCATTACCTTCATAGTACATCATGGACTTAGGGACTCATATGTAGCCTTTGAAAGTGTGTGTGCTATCAAAAATAGTCCTAATGTGGAGGAGGCAATGAGGATTTCAAACCAGTTTGTCGAAAACAGGGTTGAGGATGTCAGCGAGAGTCTTTTGAGAATGTAAAGTTCCAAATTTTAAGTAATGTTGTGAATTTTCTGTAGGTAATTATTATTATAAATCCCTCCTCTATCATAATTCTCAGAAGAACTTTGGAAAGAATTTTATTCATGTCAGTTTATAGAAAGAGTCAAACAGTTTTTATATGTTTAAGGAAACATTGTGTGAGACAAGAAAGCCTTTGTGGAAAGATTAAACAAGGATGTACTATAAACAGGAACAAACATGAACAAACTTAGAAGAAAGATTTATTGGATGAAATGTGATCAGAGCCTTAATCTGCAGAAAATGTTTGCATCCCAGTTTGTTTTAAGTAATTGTGAGGTACAGATTATATCCTTTCACTAAGCAAGTTCTTTCTCATTCCCCCTTTTTTTCATAATAATTGGTAACATAACATAGTTCCAGGTGATTAATTTGAAAACAGTTTTAAATCAACAAGAAACATCTGAGAAGCCATGCTTTAAATCCATCACTGAGCAATATGTAACAAGCATTATTTTAATCACAATGCTGTATCATTTGTTTATGTTACTGCAGCAGCAGTGATAATATATAAGCTATATATTATCTAAGCTATATAAAAACTTCTAAGCTATATAAGAACTTCACAATTAAAAGTTGGATTTTAATTTGTACTATTATCATTTGGACATTCAGTATTTATTTTCCTATATTGTTTGAAGTATTTTTTTTCCTATATTCTTTAAAGCCTTCAAATTATTATTTCTTCCATGGTGTTACTGGATGTATTTTTTTAGGGAGTTTACTTGTTAGCGGCTGCACACCAATTTCTGTAGCATATTTCAGATGTGACTTTTTCAGTTTGTCTGTATCCTTGGTTTTATGTTACTGAGAAACTATGACTCCAAATATCTAGGAACACTGAGTGGTACCATAATGATATGAATCTATTTTCTCCTTCTAATTCACAATAATTTCTTCTTTGGTCTCTAATATCATTTCCTGTTGCTTTTTAGAACTTAACTGCTGTTTAAACTTGGCACCAATGGAACTTATTGGATGTGATAATACCGTTTTATTGTAGTCATTACTGATGATCAACTTACTTAAATTTTTCTCATCTCTTATTCTTCCTTCTGATCGCTCTACACATTTAACTTTCATAATGAAGTGCCATTGGTTTTATTGACTTTATTTGGGTTATTCTTGTTAAACTACTCTAGGATTGCATAAATCTGTTAAAGCATCTAGTTTAGAATATTGTTTAGGTTCTAAGGTTTAAGTTTATACATGCATCTTTTCCTTTGTACCCAATCTAATGTTGTTCCTAACCACTGGCTAGTTAATAGATTTGTTTCTCATCCTATCCTGTAAACATCAAATCTATAAACAACTACTAGCATTCTTAGAACAAATCAAGATTGCTCTTTCATCTACTTGCTATGGTAGCAAAACTAGGTAATTGTTTAAAATTTTTATTTTAAGGAAAAAGTATGTTGGCTCAGAAGTAACAAAATTGTGTTTATTAGTTGTTATTCTGACATTGACTCATTGTATGATCATGTAAATTATCTCAAATTTCTAGAACTCAGGTTTTTTTTTCCTATAGTTTACTTATCTCACATAGGCATGCATAGGGTTTAAACCGTGGGGTTCTGGATGTAAATTGAACTACAAACGAATGCAAAAGCTATCTTCAGAAGGATCCCGAAAAGTGTGTAGAAGATAACTATTTACTCCAGTGTTAATAATCTCCTTCTTTGGTAATGTATTTCCATTTGTGTGATTTGATGAGAAGAGAGAAACAAAGGACAGTGACTTTAATATTCACCCTATCTGGAGCTAAATACAAATCAGATGAGGAAGGATGCTATAATTTTTAAAGGGAACATCTAAGAATCAAGAGATTTGGTTTCTGGTCAAGCTCTGTCATTAAAACCTTGATGTTGGATAAATGATTTAACTTCCATTGGCCTTGATGTCCTTATCTATAAAATGAGACATAATTTGACAGATTGGTGTCTGTATTAGCCAGTGTTCTCCAGAGAAACAGAACTCATAAAATGTGAGTGTGTGTACAGATTTATTATAAAGAGTTGGCCCATGCAGTTACAGAGGCTGACAAGGCTGGCAGGCTGGAGACCCGGGGAGCCAATGCTCCAGTTTGAGTCTAAAGGCTGTCTGCTGTAGAACCAGGAAGAGCTGATGTTGCAGAAGTTCAAAGGCAGTTGCTGGAGAATTCTCTGTTGCCCTGGGAAGGTCAGTCTTTTTTGTTTTATTCAGGCCTGCGACTGATGAGGCCCCCACTTATTATGGAGGGTGATCTGCTTTACTCAAAGATCACCAATTTATATGTTTATTTCTCCAAAAACACACTAACAGAAACACCCAGAGTAACGTTTGACCCAATGTCTGAGTACTTTGTAGCCTTGTTAGGACATAAAATTAATCATCACAGTACCTGAAGAACTTTTAATTCTAATGTTCTATAATTTTTAGCTATCACAGGAATAGTCATGTCTTGGTTTCATGTGATATAGTTCATAGGCCAGTGTCAGCAACTGCCTCAGTCAAGTCTTAAGTTACAGGCATGCATGTATTCACCCTGCAAGTCTTTGTTGGGTAATTTCTATGTGCCAGGCACTGTCCTAGGTAAAAAATTTGAATTTTATTCAAAGGGCAATGGGAGCTATTGAAAAATTTTTAACTGGGGTTTCTGACTTACATTAAACATGACAATTTTTGGCTGTGGTGTGGAAAATGGCTTTGAGTAAGGCAAATACAGATCTCAGTAAGGATATCAATGAGGAGGTTTGTATCAGAAAAAGACTTACCTATGAACCATGTTGGGTTGGTGCTGGCAAAGGTGGAGAGTTGATTACCTATGGGAAAGTTTTAAGATATATCATTAGCAATTATCAGAAAGTCATTGTCTAAAAGCAAGGCTATAGAGTGTCAAGCATGCACAACCCTTGACTTATTTCTTATTCTCTTGCAAATAATACTGTTACCTGCTTTATCATCACAGATAAATTGAGCATAAAAAATCATTGTAAAGCACTCTCCACATAATTTTAAAAGAATCAGTATAAAATGGTAACACATTAACACTTGACCCATCCTTTCAGATTTGTGAGTCTTGAACTATTAATAATTCAATTGTAAGAAATGGGAAAGTCCTCAAAAGACAGTGACCTCCTTAGAAGTGGCCTATTCCAAGTCTGCTGTGGGACAAACACAAAGAGCTGTTAGTCACCAGATGCTTCACACTGAGCTTCAGCAGGAGGATATCAGATCTGTGGACAAGCTTCATAAGAAGTGGTGGGGTCTGGAAGTAGCATGGGAAGATAGCCTGTCTTGATCTGATGCCAGCTCATATGTCTAATTCTATCTCATGTTGGTGGCACTCTGTCCACACACAGTGAGCATCTTATGCCACATATCTTTTTAACTACTTTTTTCTCTTCCTGGCCTTGCTCTCCCTGGCCTGTCCAGAAAGCTTCCACTACTTATCCTTGAATACCTTGAGTTTTTTTCTGCAACTTCATCTTTCCTTCCAGCCAGAAATAATTCCTCCTTCTGTAACATTATCACTTAGTATTTTAAAGTGTGATTACATTGATTGATTTGTTTCCCTCAGTAGATTGTGATGACATAGGGACAGAAAATATATTGCTCTTACTGTCTTTATAAACCCATAAAGCTCCTACTAACATTTATTGAACACATACTAGGTACCAGTGTTATGCTTGCAAATTATTTACTCTATAAATTCTATGAAGGTGAGGACCATATTTTTTGAATGAGAAAAATAATAAGTTTTTCACATATGAATGATAATTACTTTCAATGTGCTTTCCTTAAACTTCTGTTACTCTTTTAAAAATTGTATCATTAGACTAAATCCCTAAACTTAGTGCTTTCTAGTTAAAATTGAGTTTTATATTTAGTGGCTAAAAGTGATCTTGTATTTTTGTCAATCATTCTATAGACATTTGGTAGTTTTATATTATTCTTTATGTTCCAAGGAGGAGGAATCTAAACACCTTTCTTTCTTTTTTCCAGGGACCATAATTTTGATTATTTGGAGTTTCGCCTTTGGATTGGCCTGTGGTCTGCCTTCCTGTGTCTCATTTTGGTAGCCACTGATGCCAGCTTCTTGGTTCAGTACTTCACACGTTTCACAGAAGAGGGCTTTTCTTCTCTGATTAGCTTCATCTTTATCTATGATGCTTTCAAGAAGATGATCAAGCTTGCACATTACTACCCCATCAACTCCAACTTCAAAGTGGGCTACAACACTCTCTTTTCCTGTGCCTGTGTGCCACCTGACCCAGGTGAGGGCGTCACGCTTTGTGTTGGTCCTTGCTTTGTATTTGGAATAAGGTATAGGCTCCACGCTTGCCAATTTTCAGCATGCTGTTATGATCTTCAGGAATTAGTCTTATTTTATTTTCTCTGAAAAACTGTGCTACTGAATTTGAAGTCTCATTGCCTGAGATGTTTTAGCTGTATGATTCAACCAGGAAGTAAGACCAGGAGCTCTGGAATGTGAACATAACCAACTCAATATTTTGAAATTAACTCAAACTATAGGATTTGCAAGGAATTCATGTGTACATTATTTTTTATTTGATAAGTAGGGAAACCTGGATACATGTATTAACAGGCATAAATATGTGACAAACCTGTCCTCTGATACTTCTTTATTGGTGTAGGAATCTCTTCCTTGAAGTAAACCTTTAATAGATTATGTTAAATTTATAGAAGAAAAAAATACAAATCTACTTCGTATAATTTGAAGCATTAAATTAAAAAAGAGAAATTCAGATTGAAATTACCTAGTGGTAGAATTTTATGGTTTATCTCTATGAGACAAATAAGAAAAGAAAGGAAGAGAAAAGAAGAAACCAAAGAAGGAATGTGATGTTCTAGGAGTAGATTTATATTCTAGACTCAAGAAGAACGTAACAGCAAAAGTAATTTCTGGAAAGGAATGTGAGTCTATATATCTTAGCACTTTAAAATCTGTCATACCAAACATGAGTTGACATCAGAACTTTTTTACAAAAAAACGTTCAGCTTGGTCTTTGGAATTTTTTCTTGGAGTAATTCCATTATAAAATTCCATTTTATACTATGAAAACATTAGAAAAAATTATTTACTTGGAGGGAAGTTGTTTTAGATCTTCTCTTGTAGAAAAAGGGATAGTGGCTGGGTGCAGTGTCTCATGCCTGCAATTTGAAATTAACTCAAGCTGCAGTATTTGCAAGGAATTAATGTTTTTATTATTATTTGTATAGTACTTTGAGAAGGTGAGGCAGGTGGACTGCTTGAGCCCAGGAGTTTGAGACCAGTCTGAGCAACATTATGAAACCCTGTCTCTACAAAAAGTAAAAAAATTAGCTCGGTGTGGTGGCATGTTCCTGTAGCTAGTCAAGTGGCTGAGAGGGGAGCAAGACCCTGTCTCAAAAAAAAAAAAAAAAAAAAAAAGAAAAGAAGGGATAGGCATTTGTGTCATACAATTAAATGTTAATAGTACTGGTGATCCTAAGTTATGCAATTAGCTACAGGTCTGTGTCCCTTAAAATAAAAATTGAGATATAGCCCATACTTTTTACTAAGGTCTTTTAGCACCGGAAGTATAGCAGTGTTCAAAGGGCTGGGACATAAATGTGGGGCACATTCATGCAATATCCACTATGTCTTATAGATTCTGAGGAAAAACCTCTTAATGATTACAGTAAAAGAAGCATGGTTATAGACAAGAATGCAGAATGCTTATGAATTTAAAGGATAAACAAGATACTACAAATTATTTGTATGCTGTGGGGTGCCATTTCAGATTACTCCTAGATATTTTGGTATGCAACACATTCTTCTCTGCCGTATTGGTGGAGAAGTCTTAGTAGACTGATATGTGTCTTGAATTGAAAGAAAAAGAGAACACTACTTCCCTCACAATGAGGCAGTCAGTAACACTGAGGATAAGCGAAGGCATTGTTGGGCCAAGTACTTAGGGATTCTTTTTGTGTTAAGATAAATCAACGCACATTAAAATGAAACCCACACTTAAAAGCAATGCAGAAAGATATGCAAAGTAGAAATTTAAAGATTCAGACTAACAAGGATGTCGTATAGTTATAAAAGCAAACTAGTATTCAGCTATATGCTGATTTGAAATATTTGATAATTTAAAAAGTACTTGGAAACAAGTACAATATATATCAGTCAACTCATGATATATATTATTAATAGATCAATTAAATGTGCTCCCCAGAGAAACACAATTGTTACCGTTACACAACTGTATGGCACTCTTTCTAGGAGAGAAGGGGGATAAAACTCTCAATAACCATACAACCTGGACTTTCAGGGAAGTCCAGATGTTCAAAATAATGGCTTCACAAACATTTAATTGTGGGATTTTCAGCTTTCCTTTACATTTATTAAATTATATATAAATAAATGTATGTTTATTTAATAATTTATAACTTCTTAGGCAAGTTTGAGTAATCATACACCAAGATTTTCTAAAGGGAAAAAAAAACACTTTGAGGTATTCAAGAAGCCAGATGAGGGCTTTGCCAGCACACCTGTTCACATGGAAAAAAAAAAAAAATCTAGTGTCAACCCCATACCCACCTGGGGCAAATGGAAACTTGTGTTTGTTGTTTTATTATTTGGATGTTGGTAGAAGAGGTCACATGGAACCAAGGAAGACATATCTAAATGTGTTCAAATTGTAAAAAGTACAACAATGGTTTTACATGTAATCTCCCTTCCAAGAAAGATCTTTGTTTTTTGAAAAAGCGACATTGAGGCTTGAATCTATTTTACGTTTGCGTGGCAAGTGCTGGCATAAGTGGTGATAGCTTTTCCTTTGTCTTGTTTTTCCTAGATTGTGTAAAAAGTCAGCGCTGAGTGACTAGGAAGTTGTTCAGAAGGACTCCAACAATTCCTGCTCCCTTTAGTTGGTACCAATAAGGTAGTGTAGCAGGGCTTTGAAGTCAGAAGATCCTGTATCCAAGTCCTGGCTTGGCTAAGGTCAAATGTGTGACCTTCATCAAGTTCCTTTTCCCAAGGTAGTTTAGTCCCATCTTCCTAATCTGTAAACTAAGGTTAATAATAGTACCTACCTTATAGATTTGTTTTGAAGAAAAAAAAATAGAAGAACTATTACAGATAAAATACTTAGGATAGTTTCTAATATATAATAAGTAATCAGCTGTTAGCTTCCATTATTGCTATTACCAATCCTTAATATTTAGAGTTAATATTTAGCCTTGAAGTGTAAATGATAGAATAAACAGTCCTGTCTTCATCATCCTTCCTTCTAGGCATACATTGTTGGGCAGTTGGCCCATTCTGCAACAAGACTGTTGGTTATACCTCTTATTGGTACTCATAAAAGATATATATGTGAACATGAAGAATTACTTAAATCTATGGAGATGAAATCTATTTGTGGTTTGTAAAAAGGCAAATGGATAGTTATTTTCATTTTCATGACAATTTCATATTTAACAAAACCCCATAAGATTAATGATCGTGTATTTCCCACATAACCCTAGTACTTTTTGACAATGTTATTATTTCTCTATAACCTTAATGCTTTTTGGTAGCAAACTGCATCGACTCATCATAAATTTAGTATTTCCTGATAACAAACTGAAAGATTATAGTGAGAGAATAATACAGTTGCATATACAGCTCAAGTAAGTATTCTAAAAATAACAAAAGGCCGGCCTTTCATCACAACATGCACTCTTAGTAAAATAATTCAATGAGTCAATAATATTTAAACTGGCATATGACTTGTTTTTCAACGCTGGGACAGTATGTAACAGTGAACCAGCAATTGCACAGATGGATTCGTGATTCTGCAAACTGAGAATTGATTCTACAGGAATGGAAATAGGACCACTAATTGCTAAAGAAACCTCTCTTCATGGCCACAATATATTGTGGCTTTTTGTAGCATGTGCTTTGTTAAGACAACACTTCCTTTTGTCTTTTTTTCTTTCTTGTTCTCACTTGCTTCCGGAAAGCCTAATCACTTTCTATTTTTTTTCCCCAATGCATCTTTTTCTCCATCCGTTTTACTCCCAACTACTGCTTGGTAACTCGAGTCATATACATAGGTTTACTGAACAACTAAGGAAGCTCAGTTGCAAGTGCTAGTAGGAAAATCAGTCAGAAGGTTTGACATACTTGAGCGGATATATCCCATTCATGCGTGATTTTTGTGCTAAGATTTGCTTTTCTTAGAAATGGGGTAGCTATTAATTAGTAGAGGAAATGGATGTTAAATTTTCCACTGTACTTTGATGATTACATGGCAGAGTATGTAAGAAAGAAGATAATTTAGGTCAAAAGCCAAAAGGGGAAACTGAAAAATATCCAGTTGAAGAACAATAGACAATATCTAATTTCATCACCAACATCCCAATTTAGAAATGTTAATGTGATGAAGTGTAAACACTATGTGCTGTAGAGTAAACAAAACTGAGTGTGAATTTCAGCTCTGCTGCTAGCTAGCAGTGTGACCCTGAACTAGGCTAATTACTTAATCTCTTTGTTTGATAATCTCTGAACTGGGTTAGTAAATTGTGCCTATTCTTAGGGCTTACTATAAAGAGTAAATGAGGTAGCATATGCAAAATTGTTTGGTACCTAATGGACACTGAATAAAAATTTGTTCTTTTTCATATTTCTCACTATCTTACAAAAGATGCCCTAGTGAGTTTAATCTTATAATAGTTGTATTCTTTAAATATTGAAACCTTTAATTTTCCCATAAATTTTCCTAGAGAAAGATACTAACAAAGGCTTCTAATGCAAGTCTGCCTTCTCCCCCAAAATTAACAACTAGTGTGCTGTTGTAGATAAATATGAAACATTGAAGCTGTATTTACAAAGAAAAAAAATTTAAGGCTTCAGTGCATTGTAGTTAGAGTATTTAATAGTATTTCATTGAATCTCAAGACAAAAAAGTGTCGTATACTATACATAGTCATGCAAAAAAAGGCTTTAAAGTCCTAGAGGCAAGGTGTTCTATTTAATTCATTCAAAAACATAAATGCTAGAATTTTGGAAATAGGGGACAGACCATGGGCATCCCACCTTTCGCTTGTTTTCTCTTCTGTCCTCTACCCTTTTTCACTCCTCATTCATTCATCAACAAAATTTTCTGAGGGTCTGTTTCACTGCTTTTTAAGAATTTTGCAGAATTTTTTTTGCAATCTATCCATCTGACAAAGGGCTAATATCCAGAATCTACAAGGAACTTACACAAATTTATAAGAAAAAACAACCCCATCAAAAAAGTGAGCA